TGGCTCCTGGCAGTATGTGGTTGCGGTCAATCGTTTTTCCCTTTACCGAAAGGGAAAACAATCAACTCGGCTACGTACTACCTAGATACGCCAAATACATTAAAATTCGATCTATAGATTATTATTTTTTTATGTATTGTATGTCGTTTTATATTTATGCTTGTAGTTGATTTTACAATGGATAGAAATGGACAGGAGAAACGTTGCAACAAGGCCAAAGAAGACCTCGGTGAGTCGTGGCTACCAGGCTGGCGGGACTTCCTAATATGTACTTGACGCCTCCTACTCGCTTTTGCTCACGGCCTGGCCGATTTTCTTTCCCGCAAACCGACGGCTCTCCCAAGTAAAGACCAAGCAAAAATCTCGAATGTCAAGGAATGTTTAAATATTTCAGGTTATTGTCTTTCAGTTTGAAAAAGACTAACGTATTTTTTTCGCCCCCTGATGTCCATCTGATCGGCATGGTCGTAGTCGAATATTTTAAGATAACGATTGTACAACCAGCTGACGGTGGCATCAGGGTGTATCACCCCCGAGCTTACTGGCTTTAGTCGCTAATTGAAGACAGCTGCTCGATTTACATTTAAAAACAGAAAAGGGGATGGGGCTGCTATTTAACAACTACTCCATAGCCGCAGACCGTGCGATAATGTAAACAGATTTAAGAATAAAAAGTTTAGTAAAAAGTGTAGGAATGCCACCCGATGTGAGAATGTTATTTGAGCATCTCGAATATTTGAGTACTCTGGTCCGATGATTTTTAGAGGAAACTGGGTTGTTTCATTGTATAGAATACCTTTTCTTTTTGCCGGCAAACTGCTATGGTCATATCCGGCTTCTCGCATATTTGTCCTCCTCACGTTATTTTATAATTGGGAAAATATGTATTCTTTTCCGCATACATATTTTCAGGATTATATAATACTGTTAGATATCTCTTCCTTGTGTTTACTGAGACTGAATATATTTACTAGCGTGAGTGTGTAGTGTGGCATGCCCAACCGAAGAATATTGAGTACCTCACATATTTTTGGAAGAAACAGGTCTATTTTATTGTAAACATAGTACATATATGATAGATATATCGTTTTGTGTTTGTTGTTGCATATATATTGAGATTGATTGTAATCAATATGACACTTTCATGAGAGTGAAATTTTGATTTTATAATTGGCCGGAATGCTTCAGTGATGTAGTTTTCTAAACGTAAATGTATATTCAAGAAGCAATTGTGTTCTTGACACCACTGAACATGGCGAGAAGCTGAAACAACAAAACAGGGAAGGCAGGTAGACCAGGATAATCGGTATCGATTAAATTATGGGTTCACCACCGTCTTAGACCACACGGAGAAATTTCACAACAAAGCAAATCGTCAGAGTTCTTCTTGAAGTCTGCCGGTTGATGGACTTATAGTCTGATCGTTTTTTGGCCCGTCTAGTCTCGCGGTTTTGCTCTGTCAGACCTGATTCAGAAAATAATCAGAGTGAGGATAAGACAAACCAAATAAAGGTGGCGACATTCCAAAACGCGTCTGACAGACCTAAACAGCAACGACAGGAAGACAAGAGTGATCGGTAACGTCTAAATTACAGATTCGTCTCCCCTCAGACCAGGCGGGGATATTTCACAACAAAACAAATTGTCAAAGTTCTTCTTGGGGTGTGCTGGCTTATGGATTGTAGCCAGGTCGATTTTTGACCCAACTGTTTTGTTCTGCCGGAACTGGTCTGTAAGGAAATAAACAGGGCGAGGACAGGACAAACGAACCGAAGATGGCGACATGCCAAAACGCGTATGACAGGAAGGCTACAATGGTCGGTAACAACGACAATAGGGAGAAATTGTATAATTATTTAATTTTTGTATTGATTATTGTAGAAATTGTGTTTTTCTTTGTGAATAATTTTTTTTTCTTAATACTATCCTTGGAGATTTTTTTCATTCATTTATCAAAATCCCAGGTGTTATACTGTTTTCATTTTATCTCCAAGCACTTGTTGAACCCGGTGGCATCATCCCGCCTTTATCTATTTCTCGGCCCGGGAGGAAATTGTCTCCCTCACGGAAGCGCGGGCCTGTGAAACATAAATACCCAGGGAATCTAGGGTCGGACGGGATATTTTGACTTTTTTACGGCTGAGGGTGTGTACGACGGATGTTCAGGCCGGGCCCGGGCGGAAAGACGATTTCTGCCGTTAACAGTGCGCTACGGTATTCATGTGTTCATCGACTGAAAAGGTTCAATGAATAATTCATGCCGGTCAACGAGCATCTGCAAGTGCGTTATCGCAGCCCGCACGGGCCGAAATGCTCTACTGAATTTGATGGAATTTTTCGAATAGGGGGAATTTTTGTCTAGGCTTGAGATGATTCAGGGCTATTATTAGAACTGGCAACTAAGAGGTCATATCAAAGTCAGATCTAAACAGAAAACTACAATTTTTATTTCATAAAGTTAACAAATTCTAAGTAAATAAATAGGGATGTCGGTTACGTCCTAGCCCAAAGCATACGTCATGGGACCTTGCCAATATTTGAACTCACATCCTTCAAAGTGATCGGCTAAGACAGGCTTCAAAATGGCATTGAAGATTATACTTTTTTTTATGCTCATGCCATGTCGCTTGCCAACTAAACGCCTGAATTTGACACGTTATTACAACATTTGCCCGCATCTTAGTTTATTGTACAAAGCCCATTGTAAATACGAAGAGTTTCAAAACCGGTTATATATATTTTTTGTGATATACTTATCGTCAGTTGTTATATTTTATTTGCATTTGTCAAAAGAATGTTTTTGCCCATAATCACTATTATGAGGTTAAACAAAAGCTGGCTGATAGGGTAAAAAAGAAAATATGACAATTTTGTCATTTATTTAATTTCCTGGTCTGAACTTTGGTCTCTCCTAACATAACCAAGTATCGATGTTTTGATCAAGTTTTGTTTCAAACTCTACAAACATTAGGCGCACGGTCGGTAATGGCCAAATCACTAGTACATCATCCAGCATACCAGTTTACTAAATGTTATCTGTGTTATGCATTCATTACATTTATCGAGCTGCAATATTCTAAATTTTGTTGGTTTAATTACTAAAGCAACATCGCTTGTTAGATGAATATGAAGAGGTGCGCACTTTGGCCACCTTGTCTTCGCAGTGTTGGTATTTCGCCATCTTCAGTGTCTTTGTCTTTGTCCTCGCCCTGCTTATTTTCTGAAACAGAGTAGAAAAGCGAGACTAGCCAGGCTAAAATGATCCACGGAGCAACAGGTCCATGAGCCGGCAGAACTGAAGAAGAAATCTGACCATTTGTTTTGTTATAAGATTTCTCTGTGCGGTCTGGGGAGGTTATGAACCTCTAATTTGATTGTTACCGATCATCCTGGTGTCTGTCTTCGTTGTTTCAGTGGTGTCAAGAACAAAGTTGTGTTGCAATATATTTACAATTTTACGTTTAGAAAACGACAACACCAAAACATTCGTTATAATGACAAAATCAAAACAGTCAACTTGACCAAGCTGCAAGTCCATCAGCTGGAAGATGACAAGAATAATTCTGGCAACTTGTAATGTTGTGAGATTCTGGTGTTCTGAGGAGGAGATGAACCTGAAATTTGGTCGTTACCGATCATCCTGGCTTGCAGTCATCACTGTTTTGGTCTGTAAGCCACATGTAGGCACATCGCCATCTTCAGTTGGTTTGACTTATTCTCACTCTGCTTATTTCCTGAACCAGGCCTGACCGAGCAAAGCAGCGAGACTAAACAGACCAAACTAATAACAAACGACTAGGCTAACAGGTCCATCAGCCGGCTGACCTCAAGAAGAAATCTGACAATTTGTTTTGTTGTGAGATTTCTCCGTGTGGTCTGTGGAAGTCATGAGTCTATAATTTAGACTATACTGATAATCCTGGTCTGGTGTCATCACTGTTTTGGTCCATCTGCAGTGGGTTTGTCTTGTTCTCGCTCTGCTTATTTCCTGTACCAGGCCTGACAGAGCAAAACAACAAAAGTAGCTAGGTCAAAATGATCACAAACGACCGGGCTACAGGTCAATCAGCCGGCAGACCCCAAAAAGAACTCTTATAATTTGCTTTGTCGTGAGAACTGAATTTCTGCGTTTTGGCATATCGACATCTTCAGTTGATTTGTCTTGTCATTACTCTGCTTATTTCTTAAACCGGGTCTGACAGAGCAAAACAGCGAGACTAGATGGACCACAAAACGTTCAGACTACAGCTCCTCCAGCCGGCAGACTTTATAAGAAGTCTAATCATTTTCATCACTCTACAGAAGACAAGGAGAAACTTTATCTCTTCGTCCTGCATTCTCGGTTTTTTCTTTTTCGGATTACTTCATTTCAAAATTTACTGATCTAAACTCAAGCAGTTTAGGTTTTTTACTTGCTTGCTTAAAACTAAGTCGCTTAAATTTGACACTTTAAATTACACACACATACATACAGAGAGAGAGAGAGAGAGAGTGTGAGAGGAGTTAATAATGTAAATTTTTAATTATTTAAACGAACATTCATTAAGCCTTCTCTACCCAGGCTTTTACTTTGTGGAAATGACAAGAATTTGAGAAGCTGAGAATTAGAGCAGCCGTTGTATGCAAAAATCCTAGCTGGGATCAAGTCGCAGGTCTGACCTAAACGGACGTAGTCGCATGATTAAGTCGGTTCCAGTGTGAGAACATCAGGGATGGGGTTGTTGTCATTGCCCCTAATCTCTATAATTAAAAATTGTCAAAAATTGTTTACAAATGAAAATGGAACCTTAATGTATAGATTTAGGTACGTGTGCCAGGTTGGGAATCGTTAATCGGTATCAATGAAGCTCGTTTGACAATAGACACGTCACACTGCCGAGAGGAAGGGTACTGAAACTTTGAAAGTACTGAAAAGCGATAGGTGGGATAGGAGCTGATGTGAGAAGTCTACCCCCACTGCAAACTATAAAAGGCCAGCCAACTCCCCACTCTCACTCACTTCTTCTCTGCTTCTGTTCGGTGCGTGAACTCCCGACCAGTGGCAACAAAAGCGTGCGTTTTTTTGGTTTTTGTGGACGTTGCGTTGAGTACCATGCCACCTCGTCGATCGTCACAGCGTCCAACTCGGAGGCAGGTCCGCCTCCAGTCGCCGATCGAGAGCTCGCTCTTTTCCGGGAGCCGGCCCAGCAGACCTGTCAACCGGTGCCTCTTCGGACGGCCTGACCACGAGGAAAACAGGCGGTGGCTCGACCAGTGCCTATCCGAGGTGTACAACTCGATGGAGGCGAAATGGGAAATAATAACGCCCATATTTCGCAAGGAGACACCGACAAGAAACGGAGCCCGCCAACCCGGTAGGTACGGTTCTCGTTAAGTGCTTGGGGGGTCCTAAACAAGTTCCGGTCGAATTGTGTAAAATTTAAATTGGGACAATTTGACTGAACACTTCAATTTCATCTGTTATCATTTAATTTATTTTTCTATTTTATGTATTATGAATGATAACAGAAAAGGAGAGAAAAATTTAACAAAATTTTTAAAAAATCTCTTCCTTCTCATCAATCTTAACAGATTAAACATAAATATATTTTCCATAATACATTTTTGCTAGGTTTTACTATTATTCAACCACTTTACTTATGCCAGATTACAAAAATTAAGAATTATTTTGGTAGAGCAACGAGAATCAAAGTTAGACCTCAAAAATCCATAAATAAATAGGTACCTGACACTTCTCCTATGAATATTCCACATTAATTACCTAATGGATTAGTTATCATTAAAACTACTTGAACGTTTTTGTAAAATCTACAATTTTATGACAAGAATCAAGTACAAAAACACACGTGATTACTATTTCATAGAACTTGTTGGTTCTGTTTTTCATTTATGTGTAATTGGACCAACTACAGGAGACAATTTTGGAACGCCTTATCTAGGAGTCGTAGAAATGTAGTTTTTCGCCGTTGATTCAGCGTTTTTTAATTTCATATCAACTCTTTCTTTGAAACAACATAAAAACTGGGAGATGGTATGAATTGTAAGCACGTAAAGTAAAATCCCTGCATTTGAAAAAAAAACGTTAAATATAAAATAATTGGGCTCCTATAAGTCCATGTGAACACTAATTACATTTACATATAACAATAAAGGCTTCTTCTGATGTGAGATATATTTATATAGATTTTTCCTTCAAATTAAACTTTTTTAACTTCAAATTAACCTCTTTCAATTTCAAACTAACCTTTTTAATTTCAAATTAAAGCTTTTTAACTTTAAAATGGCCCTTTTTAACTTCAATTTCTTAAAAGTGTTAAAAAAATGAAATGGTATGAAATATAACCGTGTAAAGTAAAAATCCTGTACATTTGAGAATTTTTTAAACTCTAAATTTTAATTCTTATAAGAGCCAAATTATTTTTGTTATAGTGTTTTTAATGCCTTGAAGAAATTGTTAATTTGAAATTAAAGACGGTTGATTTCATGCGAAAAAGGGTTAATATGAAATTAAATAAGGTTAACTTTCATTTAAAAAGGGTTAATTTCAATTAAAAAAGGGATGAACATAAAATTAAAAAGGGTTACTTACTTTCACGCTGAAAAGTGTTAATTTAAAATTAAAAAAAGGAATAATTTCAAAATTAAATTAATTTAACTTTTTATTTTCGAATTTAACCCTTTTTAACTTTTAATTAACCGTTTTAATTTCAAATTATTTCTTTCTTAAAAGCATTAAAATACTTTGGAAATGGTATTAAATGTAAACATGTAAAGTAAACTTCCTGTTCATGTGGGTTTTTTTAAGGATAAAATAATTCGGCTCTTAGAAAACCGTACGAAAATTAATTACAATTACAATTAAAAATTATGTAAAATTAAATATAAAAATAAAGTTCTTTCAATGTGAGATATATAAATGTATCTGTGCAAATAACACTTTTTAATTTATATTTTTATAAAAATAAATTTTTAATGTTTTAAAGAATGGGTTAAAAAACATTAACTTTAAAAATAATGTGGTCTTCTAAGATCCCAATTATTTTATGTTAAAAACACAATTCTCTATTATACAGGAATTTTCTTTGCAATAAGTTTAAAAAAGACGAACTTGAAATGAACGCTTTTTCCTTATATTTATATCAGAAGTACATATATTGCATACCATCTCCTTTTAATGTTTAAAAAAGGTTAATTGCAAGTTTAAGAGCTTTGATTTGACGGAAACATCTATATAAATATATCTCAATTTAGAAGAACAATCTTTTATTTTTATGTTTTATTGTATATATTTTTTAATTTTAATTGTAATTAATCTATATTTGATCTCTACGAGCTCTATTATTTTATATTAAAAATATTTCTCAATTATACAGGAATTTTACTTTACATATTACATTTTCTTTCATAAGGTTTTTAATGTTTTAAAGGAAAGGTTAAATTTGAAATTAAAAATGGTTAATTTCGTGCGAAAAGTGGTTAATTTCAAATTGAAAAAAAATAATTGGTCGGAAAAACTTATACTTGTAATATTGGATTTGAGCCATTTCTGAAGATTACGAAACTGTCATGGAATATTTCAAGAAATTATTGTAGGTATTTCAGTATTTCATGATTAATTGGACCTCAATCAACAAGTCATTCTTTGATCTACAATTTTTTTAACAAGGAGATTTACCTTTACCAGAGTTAGAAGATAATACTTCACGTTTTTTTTTTTAGTGACCGGCTCTTTAATAACTTCACCTTTGTCAACCCAATTATGTTAAATATAATTTTGCTTAAAAACTGGCTCGAATGTGAATTAGTGTTTAAATTGAAAAATGCCATTTCTATACACGTACCTCGTTACCCCGGTTTTTAACAATATCTATATATTTTATATCGTGAGGAGGCAGAACATATGTTCGTAATTCCATTATTGCTTATAATTTTTATCTATAGTATTCGTAGTCTGTACATATCAAAAAACATGTTAAAAGTATAATAATCATAATAGAAATCTAAGTTAGGTTAGTTTAGAAAATGGTTAGGTGAGGTAGGAGTAAGATTAGGTTAGACTTAGGGCGTATTTACGGTCGTGAAATTACATTATTTTTATTGGTTAAATAACCCTAGTAGAGTGGGCTTAAGAAGAAAAAGCTAAATAGAAAAGGCAAGTTGAGCCGGGTTGGGTTAGGAATGGTTAGATGAGGTAGGGTTAAGGTTAGGTTAGGGTTTTCTAGGGGCGTAAAAGTTTCCATATTTTTATTATTTTAGACAACCTAAAGCAAAACCATCCAGTGGGCCTAAGTAGTATAAAGCATATACAAAAATCTAAATTAAAAAATTTAATTTAAACAAATGTAAACATTGACGTATCTAGGGGTACAAAATAAGTTGATATCCTATTTTTATATTCCTACGATATTTTATTTCAAAATCTGGGTTTTTTTGCCTTTATCTCTTTTTTAATCCTAGTCCAATGTATGAAGCCGTTTGAGGCAATTTGGTATACTGCACGAACTACGTATTGACCCCCTGCCCCGTACCCAAACAACGCCGATTTTGTTGATTTCCCCCAATGTCTGACAGGGCTTTGCTGCAATCACAAACTGCTCTGTGCTTTACAAAATATTCTAGTAGCAAATAATTTTTTTGTCACTCTACGCGGAAGAATTGATTATATACAGGAATATATATGACACCGTGTTCCCGGAGGATGATAATGGCTGAAAACGGTGATGTCAGAAGGTGTGGATAAGCCGGAGGCTTTTGCGGTCGGACAACGTTCTATTTAATTGTTTATTAAGCAATTCTTGAAACAATCGAACCAGATCGTGAACAAAGGGAAACAATCGTTCCTGCGCTCTCGTGATTTACTTTCCCCGAGGAGGGTACGGGTGATGCCATGATGAGATGGCGAAAAAGATCAAATTTCGCCAATTCTGACAGATAATTCAACTGGTTCTATCTACCTGTTGTTGCCTACAGACAATGTCAAGAAGAGATCGTGTATTTATCTCACATTAAAAGAATGTGTCATCTGCATAAAGGCAGAAATTATGAAAGTTGGTGAAGAACCACGTTGGAGATTAAAGATTTAAATGATTTGATTGTAGTTTCGCGCCAAATAAGTCAGTGTTGGAACGACATTCAACACTCCTCCCGACACAAACTCGTGAGATTTGGCGCTAACATTTAAAAAATTCAGCCTCAATTAAAATAATGACAATGATTTGTGTAGAATAATTAGAATGTAAAAATATAACATATAAATAAAGAATAATTATAAAAGAAATTTTATCCCCTAGAGTTTGTTGGAGATTGATGTTTTCAAGATGGAGATATTTAAGTTGACGCCAAAGTCAGTGTTGCCAACAAACAGACAGAAACACTGTACGGACCGCACAGTGCCCGACCTAAACTCAAGGGATTTCCAGCTAACTTTTAACAAAATTGCTAATAGCCTCCTACATGACAGGCCAATGCATTACACACCATGGTTGGTTTGGGCTTGGATCCATACACTGGGCCCATAAATTGGTCAACCCTCCACCCAAATCTTGGGCCAGCATGGGCGCAATGACTTGTAGTTGCTTACTTTTCCTGTGCCGTGATAGATATCGAGGTCGAGTAAATCGCTGCTGCAGCTTTATGTATGGCTAGGGTGTATAATTGCTATTTACGTGTTATTGAAAGAAACCTGGTTGGAAATAACAAACAATGGACGACCAATGTTGACCCAGTGTTTGGACCCGACACCTATCTATTGCACACTGTCAACCATATTCGCCTCTTTTGATGTGCTGCGCCAACACCATTTTCAACATTTCGCCAATATGAGCCACTACAGGCCATTGCTTCTCTCCACAGTGGCCTAGAGGGGCCATAAAGTTGATTGTGCTCTGAATGGTCATAAAGGGTTAAAAAACTGTTCATAAAAAACAGCCATTAATGGGTTTACAAAATTGCTTTGAAATTTTGCCACACTTTGTTCATCAAACATAATACAACGAAGAATCGAATTGATAAATTGATGAAAATTTTAATTAATTTTCTTTTAATTAGAGTTTATATTAGTCTGAGACCAATATCCAACCTGAGACCAAAGGTCTAATAACGTGCTCTAAATAACGTTAAAGCTATCTGAGGACTTTTTGCATGACGGAGTACACGTTTTATAGGGAAGTTGTAGTAGGTGAACTGGAGATTGAACATTCCAAGATGTAGATTCAATGGTTTCACGATGGAGACTGAAGTTTCCATGATGGAAATTGGCTACTAACAATTCACTGTTGCCACTGGGAGTTAGATAGTGAGGCATAACTAATACGTGGAGAACGACAATAGGCTCAGTTTAATTGATGTGGTGCGACAAGCTTTGTAACCTAACCTACGTACATTTCACTGAATTTTGATTATCATAGGTTCTTATATTTTTTTGCGTTTTCAATGCGTTCAGTTCGGTTATGCGCTCAGATTCAATTTCTTCCATGGCAGGAAGAGTTTTCCCGACAACCCAAGAAGAATGACGATGTAAAAGTGCACTTGGTACTTGAAAATTTAACAACACATTATAAAGGCAGTAAAATTTTGTCTTCAAGACTTGGAAGGAGTGAAAACCGCACAAGATACGGTCACGGTTGGATGCGTTGTGCTCGGCTTCCATTACCTCAGAAACCGCAACATACGGATCAACTTTTTTTAACATATCACACACTCCAAGGCACGTAATATGCACTAAAAAAGAATATTGTATTGGAATTGCTAGATAAAAAAATATGGATGACGAATGGATTTTTTTGTCGGTACTCTCGACAGAAATTATTTTGCATATAGTCTATTGTAAACTTTTCACGGGTTTACTAGTTGAGACTAAAAGCTTAGACGTTAAAGAACTAAAGACATCGAGGGTTCGAGCTGGATGCTAAATATTTACCGGACTAAATTCAAAACGTAGGTAAAAGTTGAGAAAAACTGTAATGAGTGGACCGTTTAGGGGAATGCCTGCATCTGCTAAACGGCATGTGCTTGCTGGCTATATTTAGGTAGTCAAGAACTTAATCGACTACATTTTAACACACGGTGACAAACATTATCACATTATTGTTTTTATTTTATAGACGTTATGTGTTGTACTCCTCATTCTGCTTCTTATCAACTTTTTTGTTCTTGACCTTTCACGATTTAATCTTCAGTTTGTTTTATGAGCAACTTCCGGCAGACGTTTCATCCCATGGCGTTGTAAATATCAAGTACATATATTATTTATAACACTTGTGATTATTATAGGATAATTGATTTTGTAGTACAATATTATTTAGTTTGAATTGTATTACAACGTGAACTAATTCGATCCTTTTTCCCGTTTTATTTTGACAACCTACACTTCAGTACTACACTTTTTATAATTTTCCCCAGGAACCAAATATTAGAACATCCAAAGATCCCATCATACGACCCAACAGGATTCGAGTTTGCATTGTAAGGGTGGTAGATCTTGCCGATGATGTCGGTCCGTAACTCCGTACAATCCAGCTATTTCCGGAACGCTTCCGGCCAATTACCACATACCCAGACACGACCTGTCGTCTGGCAACAACAATTTCACAAATGTAAATAATTCCAGTGTTCAATGATCGTCAAGAAGTTGAAATGAGTAATAAAAGGTTGTTCCTCCCGAGTCCATTTACTGACGTCCAGTCTGTCGCGCATCCTTCGAATATTCTTGTTCTATTAAATATCAGTGGGGCCTAAAAAAATTCAATGAAAGACGCGCTGTAACGTTAGAACAGCAGGGAGCGTTGTGAAGCTCATTAGCGATTAATCTCTTGACCCCCGTGCCCTTACAGTAGTACAATCCTTGTTGCAAAGAGATCATATTTTATTTCATTTCAATCTTACGAAAGATTCTAATATAGCTTTGTGTTATGAATTTATGGCATATTGACAACACTACTTTAAAAAGAATTGATATATTCTTCTAAAGACACGTAAGTTGATAACATTACAACCAACTCAGGCAAGAAATATTACTGGTTACTATAACACAACTTAATAGAAAAAATTAATCCTATTTCTAGGATAATCTAAGATAATTGCTAAGATCGTTCGATGTGATTTTATTCTCTAAAAACAAGAATTAAATTACATGTTCAACAAAAAAATGACGACAACAATAATACGGGCTACACTAGAACATTAAGTAGTGTTACAGCAGCCAGTAGTTTTGCCAAGCTGATGGGTAGCAATGTTACCAATATACACCTCTGTTATTGTAACAGCATAGTTGCCTGTCTGAGGTGGTAGCAATGGTACCAACTTACACCTCTATTATTGTAACCAGCAGTGTTGACTCGTGTTGACTCCATGGTATGTTAGATGTAGATGTCAGGGTGTGTAATACAATGCGCCCTTTAAGAGCTGTTCTATTCCCTGTTCTGTGATTATATCAAACTGGTGAGTCCTATTTCATCAAGGAATTTGATTAGTAGACTCGGTTTTAGTGGTTAAATTTCTTCTATGGTCACGTTGTACGTGCCAAAGCACTTCCTCCTGTGGAAGTGGAGCGCCACAGTTTGATAATAGGTGTGTTGGTGACTCCTCTGCTTCTTTGCAGAATCTGCACATACTGTGTTGGGTTATGCCAATGTTCTTTAAATTTCTGTTTAGTTTGCAGTATCCTGTTAAGAATCCTGTTAGTGTTCACAGTTTTTTCCTGCTCCCCTTGATACATTGTCAACTAATGATGTTTGAGCTTAGTGCTTGGCTGGCTGGCTATCTGACATGATAACTATGTTTTTGTTGTTGTATCGTTTATTAAAGTTGAATTGAATACTATTACTTCTTTCCTTCCAAAATTTGTTTGGAGGTTCTGGGATTGTTTGTTTCCAATGAGTGAGTTCCATTGTTCCCTCATTTTCTTTTATCCTTCTGTCTGAGGTATTCATTGATAATGTGGGTTCCTATGCCAGAGAATGGTTTAGGTCCTAACAGCGGCATAGCAGCCCCTTTTCTTACAAGGGTGTCTGCTTTCTCATTGCCTTCTACTCCCACATGTCCTGAGACCCAGCAGAGGCTTACTTTGTTTTGCATAACTAATACGTTTAATTTGGTTTTGCAGTTCAATTCATCATTGAACTAATGATGTTTGAGCTTAGTGCTTGGCTGGCAAGCTATCTGACATGATAGCTATGTTTTTGTTGTTGTATCGTTTATTAAAGTTGAATTGAATACATCTCTCGATTGTGAAGATCTAAGCTTACAAGATACTGGTGTATTTTCCCATGGGTTTGAATATTTGGTACCTTCTTATGTTCTAGATTATTCTGTGAACCAATAAATGGTGTCTTTCTTAAAGGAGGTGTTTTCCTTTCATTCCCATTCTTTTTTGAAGTTTTGATTAAATTCAAACATCCTGATCATGTCATCTCTTGGAGCCATTAGTATTGGATGGTCATTCATGTTGTTACTATCTGTCTATTTTAGTTTTATTCCTGTTGGAGGTTTCTCTTTAATAATACTAATATAGTTTTCTGTGCAGTCCTCATTATCATGTGGTGTAGGGAGATTAATCCCAGTATTTTTCCATACCAACTGTGGAACATGTTCTCATAGCTCCCCTTATACAGATGCATGCAAGTATCTGTAGTTTTGTAGTTCTTTTCGTTTTGTTATTTGTTCTGCTATACCATCCCAGGCTATGGCCCTTGGTGTTGTATCAATGTTACCAATTTACAGCTATAAGATAATGTTTGACATATACATAATACAAAACAGACAAGCTCTAATTTTGACAGCAGGACAGCAGGTTTGGCTGACTTAATTTCCATATAAGACCCATTTAAGTAACAGACAACACACAGTCATACATAATGAATAGAAATGCTTCTGACAAAAATGTAGTAAAATGTAGTATAATAAAATGATTTTTACCATTTATATTATTACCATGTATATGCGTCCTTATTCTTTTTATATATATTATTTGTATTTTTACATATATTATTTATATTTTTTGTTATTGTAAAATGTCTTTGAATTATTCTGTCGCATTATTGAATTTTTAGTTTTAAAAAATAAGACAGAAATAGTGGATTTCGATCCGTAAATAAATAAATAAATAAATAAAAATCATTCAAACCAAGACTACCAAGCTATATTGAACACAAACTTACTTTTCAATGTCAGTATTTTTTCTGCAGTCCTTTTCATTGACAATTAATTATCCAGCTACACACTTGAAAACATGCAAACCTAAAACAGTCAAAAGGAAATAGATTAATCAATGCACAAATAAATTACAATTTAAGAGTGCACTGCCAGGCAGTTAAAATGTGCATGCGGTTTATCTTCAAACTAGTCTGGGAATGCCTAATTGTCTAATGGCCTTGTGAGAACAGAAGGTTACCTTGTTGGGTTCCAGGAATGTATCAAAGGGAAAGAACGGTCTGACCAACTAACCAAAGAAGAGGCGGCCCTCTCACCCATGGGTCATCTCATTAATTGTTTAATATTTAGCTGCATTTTTGTACATTACTTCACATTTCAAAATGTCTTAAAACCCAAAATTATTATTATTTATTAAGTTTCACCCTTGGACAAGTGATTAACCTGTTGGTCATGTTAATCTTGTTTTTGAAAAAAAAAAGTATTTTTCATTGTTTTGTTTTTTTCAGATTATTACCTGGGTCGGCGTAAATTACCAACAACCCCAAGAAAATCAATGGACTTGGATCAAAGTGATGCGGTTGGCTTTCCAGCCGGCACTCCTCCACCTGGAAAAGAAATCTCTTCGGTCTTATCGCCAGAAATGGACAGCGTTCGCTTTTCGGAGGACATTTCATTTGTCAAAGAAGAGACACCTAGAAAAAAGCCACTACTCGATCACAACGAGGTTAAAGAAGACTGAGCAACATCGACTTAGCAATTTTACCCTTTGAATTATTCTGTCACGTTATTGAATTTTTAGTTTTAAAAAATAAGACAGTAACATCCATGACAAATTTCTAAATTAGCAATTCTTGTAATTTCATTCCTTCACCATTAGACCTTTCTTCTATGTTATTCTAGTCCAATGTAGTATGCCAACCAATATTACAATTTTTTTTTTTTTCAAATAAAAGTTATTCAACAGGAGAAAGGATCAGATTAAAATAAAGATTCAATTAAGGATTTAAAGGACTGATTAGAAACCACAGATAACAAATAGTATCAGTGATGGTATTTAATAAACAAGGAATTTTTTATTTAAAATCTATTGTATTGCTTTATTATAGTTTATAAATTATCTTTTTGGACTTATGTTGTATACTTTATTTTATAGAGTTTAGTGTAGTGTACTCAATGAAACTCTTCACTTAAGCATCATTTTATTTTATACATTTTGCTTATTTGCTTTCTTTTGAAAATTATTAAATCCTATCAACTTTATTGCTATTAGCGAAAACAGTATTAATATAGTTAAGAATATAATAATGTCAAGATGAAAAAAACAAGAATACATATTGGTATACATTTATATTTATTTTTTAATTTTTATGGCTTCAAAATTTTCAGTCGGTGTTTTCAATTTGGCCTTTTGAAAATAGTTCGCCCATCTTTTTATATTTAAACCAATAGATAATTTATAACTTAACAAGTTTTACTGTTATAAGAAGTATTAATTGGATAAGTAGTACTCATTTATTGTTTAAGAAGGTGATAGCCTTTTTTTAAAATTAAATTAAACATGCTCAACAAATCGCATGTATTTGTCGAGCGTTTTTAATTTAGAAAATCTATATTTGTATTTTTTGACAATTCAGTTCTGAATGAGTTTACAATATTACTAGTTGCTAGTTGATTCTCTGCGGAAACTTGACTGCTACAGGCTCTCAACTTTTGTAAGTTTTAGATTTTGTAACACTCATGTTTCCTGTTTGATATTATCCCATATATATTTTAATATTATAAATATCTTTAGATTTAAATATTCAAATAAAGGTGACATTTTTATATAAGGCCTTCTTTCCAAGTTTGCATTCCTGTTTATGTTCCTTGAAATTGATTTTGATTTAAAATGCTATCTAGTCTTTGATAATGAAATTTGAATGTAAATCAAAAATGGCCAACGAACAGGTCAAGCTATTTAATATGTTTAAAATTTTATTTTTTATAAATGCATTTTATGTAATCTTGTCTATTCATTCTTATTGTTAAATGATGCTTAGACTGTATTTTAGAAAAATAAAACAAGTTAACATGCATAAACTATTTATTAACAGTTGTATTTCTATCGCTATTTTAGATACCTTAATCAATTTTCAAAAATTTTTACAGGTACACACTGTCAAACTCTAATTGGTTTTATGAATATACATACTATTTTTCCCTCAAGACAGAGTTGAGCTTTTGGTGGTTCAGGGTCAGATCTCCAGGCTCCAGGGGCTGTTGACAGCTAGGTCATTTCAGCCCCCAACACATCAGTTCCTAAATCCATATAGTATCTATACCTAACTAATCTAATTGAGAATCAACAGAGTCTTCAATACCACACATTCACTATAATAAATACATTTTTTCAATATACAAACAAGATACCTATCAATAAAGTAAAAGTAAAAAGTAATTCCTGTCATGCAGGAGAGCTTTATGTCCAACTACCCATTCGATGTCGCAGACGAGGGTTCAAACAATTTTTTTTTCATACTATTATCAATTAAAAAGTCTAAGCTTAGGTGGTGTAAGCAACAATGCAAATATTGTTCTAGCAGCTCACAACTGGAAGGCAGCCACAAATGACAGGAACTTTTGGTATAAACTTCTTAGGGAGGCCCGTAAGGTAGGTAGGTAGTCTCCAAAAAATATTTCATCCATTCTGGATTCCTCAAGCTTGTTGGTCCTTTCTTGTTTAACCTGTTTGCAGAGAAGAAGTAATCCATTGACCTCAGCAGGGAGAAAATCAGAGGCCATTGATACTTTAGGCAAAAGAGGATTGTCCGGGTTGGTTCAGATTGAAAGGTGTTGGACTAGAGGGATGTGATGAGGTATGAGGATTTTACAGAGGCTGTATCAATTTCTTCTAGGGCAGTGGTTCAAAGGATTTTTGATTGAAGTGACTGGATTCTTTGTAAGTTGGAATACTCGGTTGAACCCCACAGTTCAATTCGGTCCATTGGTTGTAGTAATGGTATGTAGACAAATCGTTTGTTTTCTGGTGAAAGTTTTGATCTGTTGTCAAGTAGTCATTTGAGTAGTTTATGTCTGTTCAGTTCTATTCTTTTGAGTCGTATGTGGGGCTCTAAGTAAGTCTTTTGTCAATGTAAAGTCCCAAATGGCGAAGACATTAGTTGCTGGGAAAGGAACTGAATTGTAGTAGATTGGAAAAGAGGTGATAGGCGAAATGTGAAAGTTATATCTAGTTATACCTAGTTTCGTGGAATTTAATTATCCATTTCTTGTTCTTCCAAATAGTTGGTCCTGGAGGTTTCTCAAGTCTACAAGCTATGGATGTGATGAAAGGATGGAGATCTGCGTTACAAATACTGTTTCAGGATTGATAGGAATGCCGGCAGTGCATAGATTGGGACTAAGGATGCTCCTTGTGTATCACCCGCTTAATCTTTTGATCTTAAACTGAATAGACTTAAAACTATCTTTACTCGCAGAATCAACAATGATCTAATCTTCATCTAGAAATTGTTACATAACCTTCACTGTCCCGACCTATCCCAGCCTAATTTCAATATACTTGAAACACCAGTCATCTTACATTNAAATAAATAAAAATATTGCATCAATTAAATTAAATACTCCTGTCTACCTAGACTAACAGTGTCAATCTCCCTTGAAAAAAGTTGATATTTACCTTTGTTTCTTCACCAAACAACTTCACAACCTGTTGGCATTAATTCTGAGACTATTTTTGGATCATAAAAACTCTGAGACTAAGTGTACCCATTTTGCGCGTTACTTTTTCTTCCAACAGTACTACCAACTATCATTTCTTAATATTATATCATTTACACTTTTATTATATCAATTGTAGGTATGCACCCCTACAGATATTTTTTTCTTCGTTTGTTGTTGTTTTCTTGTTTTTTTATAAAGAAAATGTGTAATAACAAAAAAAATTGTATAAAAAAATTTACAACAAAACATCCTTTGCGTGATGAACTATTCACGTGTAGAGTATTTCAAATCACAAAAAAGATAACGGATTTATATTAAATCTGAACTCCAAAAGTGACTCTAATAGACAAGTCTACGAGAAATAATTGCACATTGTCAAAAAAAATCAGATTATTTTTTTGTTTCAAAAAAGGTAATTTGATGAAGGACCAAGCTGAACGATCGTTCTTTTTAAGAATCGATTCAAAAGATCCATAGATTCTAAATCTCTGGAACTTATCGAAAACCAGTGAAAACCTCTTCTCTCCATTCAGTGGTCCATCTGTCCTTGGCGCTGAAGGTCCGTTTGTGTTGACGTTAATAAGAGACGCGATAAGCAAAATAGAAGAGAATTTTTTTTCTGTTTGCTTCTATATTTTTTTCACTTTGATTTAATTTTTATCTTAACTTGTGCAAAAGCAAAAATGAACGGTTTCCAATATCCGAACCGGGAGAGCAAATGCACCTGGAAGGTCGGCGATAGCCGGGAGGAATCTCCACACTCGCATCGTCCGACGCTGTAAGTGAAAAATGTTGAATTCTTATTTTAATATATTTAATCGATTACAATGTTCGAAAAAATTCACTGAAAAAAATCAACTTTACGTCATAAACCGTCCATAAATAAAAAACATAATTTTCCTGGAATTAGGTATCACTGTAAAAAAAAAATCGTCCTAACTGTAAAATATAGTTAAACAGAAATTTTCTGTACCATGGTCGTCTCCTGACATCCAGGCAAACCTAAAGTTTTAGTTTAAAAAAAGCGTTAGGCGCGTAATTGAGATATTTCACGACCTTCTTTACAGAAGACGACCCTTTATTTACCCATTTGAATTTAATTTTGATCTATTTAAAGAAAAATCGTATATAAAAACCTCCCATCTACGAAAGCCGGGTGGTCCGGTGGCGATTATTACTGCATGTACCCAAATCAAGCAAAACGGGGGGCGCCTTTTTTCTCAAAAAAACATCCCAAACCCCGGGTCTTATGAAAAACCTAACCGTCCAACATAAGATGTCTTCTCCCTCATAATTATACATATTAACATTATTAACAACCCCACCTGATCTATCCAATCCCGAACCCTATCCCAACCAACTTGTACTTAACCTAACCTAATCAGCCCAAACCCTAACCCAGCTAACATTGTCTTTAACGTGTGGTGTTTAGTGACCGTTAGTTAATGATTATTTGAAGATCATGAGACGCGGTCTGGTGTGACATAGGTTTTAGAAAAACATTTTCTTTATCGTGCCAACGTTTCGATCTTTATTGAGATCATCTTCAGGGCCTGGGATTTATAAACATTGT